AGGCATGTAGCTGCAAGAAGGCAAACACAGATGTCAATGCACAGACTTGACCAGTCAGAAAGATATAATGTGTAAGTGATAAGAATGGGAAAGAAATGTGCATTAAATGAGATTTTTAGTGATTTAATCAATGTATATCTCTATTAACTGTTAAAAATTATCTTTCGGTTTTGCATCATCAGATTCTGTTTCTTCTTTCAAAATGTGCACAATGCATGCAAGATTCATACAACTGGGGAAAAAATTACATAACCACTCTTTAGCATATACACATGGGAAGAATGTATTAAATGTCTGCATATATGAATGTCTATGGAGGGATTTTTTAAAACCTGTAATCCCAATATATGCAAAATTTGGATCAAATGTGGTTGAGATTCTGAAAAGCACAAAAAAAAGGAAACTATCAGATTTTCCTATCCCTAGTAATACATTAATAAAGCACAAATCTCTCTCAAGCCAACAGCCTCTGCCCAACAGTCTCTTGCACTTATGAACCTAGTGACACAAACTTGACCCAATCAACAAAAATGTATGCATTTATATTGCCTCGGTCCATTAAGCTTATATGTCAGGCTAGGGAGGCCAAGACTCAAAAGAGTCAACAATCCTTTTATGAGGCACTGTTTCTTTTCCCATGTGAAATCTTCTGAATAAAAAGATGTTTGGTACTTCCTGGTCATTTGGAATTACATGGGGATAGGAATAGAGGATTACTTGCATGTAGCAAATTGTTCTCAGAGACGGCAGAAAGTTATTCTCTCTATAATGGAATCTCTTGGGGTAGAAGAGCAACACCTGGTGTTCATGACTCTGCATTTCCTGTGAATCTGTAATACTGTTCTTGGGACTTTCAGAGCCAGTATGAAGGATATTTACTTTGCTGTGCAACCAGCTTATCTTGCAGTCCATGTGAGAATGTAAGTTAAAAATTGAATAAAATTTGGGAAACTACCAAATGATGGTACTATAGAGAAGGCACAAGGCCATCTGAGGAAGTCCATGTAGATCCAAGGACCTTGGTTTCTCATTATTAATTAAAGGTATTAATGGGGAAGATATTGTCCATCAAGGACCTCATTCGGTGTAGAAAACATTTTGGGCCATGTGTCAACTGTAGATACACCTGAGCCAGCTCACACAAAATCCTCTCCTTAATGTCATCATTACTTGACATTCCATAAGACTGAAAAAGAGTGAAGTCTAG